TCATGTGAACGATATTTACGTATTCAGTATTTACGCAGATGACAATCTTTACGACAACGGCTGAATGAATATATGCTAATTTGTGGCAAATTTCACGTATTGGACCGGTTGTTCAAAGCTAGGTTAGAGCTAACCCTGCATGGGCTAAATTTTCCTCCGCTGTTTTGTTTTATATGCTTCTGCACTGCTGTTTTTTTTCAACACTTTACAAAATAAGACTTTTATTGATCCAGAAAATATTTATGGAAAAACATATTTAACTTCATAAACGAGAGATTAAAAAATTGATTAAAAAATTTGCCGGAGTTAACCCAAAATTAAGATAACCGGCTTTTGAACAACCGGCCCAGGTGAATTATAACAAATTTCAAAATGACAGCTAACCATTTTGGGGACGTTTCTTACAAACGGAGATAAGCGGACAAATGCAGTTCTTGTGTCAATTCACTTGTGCAAAAATACTAAAACAATTATTCACCTTAGGCTCAGTGATTATCGGGGAATATTCACCTCCACTTCCTCTTGGTGAATATTCACCGATATTCACCGTTTGATATCAAGCATCGAACTCGTCTGACTGACTCGTCTTAATATAAATACAGATAAGCTTTACAAAATTTTTCTGGCGTGTGTTTTACCTGAATAATTGCCAATATTCAATCTGTATTTGTCTGATTCATCAGCCACACTAAATGTTCCATATTTAGCGTAACGTTTAGCGCCAATGAAATCCATCAAATCAACTCTTAGAACGTTTTGGCCAGATTTCCACAAACGATGTATTTTATCAAGGCCCAACCAGAACTCGCCGTTAAGATCACCAAAGCCTGCTTTATAGTCCGACATCCACGATAGAATCTTGACTCCATCTTGTCTTCTTTGAAACGCGGTCCAGTCCCTGTCTGTGCTCATATCACATTTGACTTGAAACGATTCCAGACCATCAGGATTGATAGTGTAAACACCATCTTGTCTTATTCCTCGGTTATACAGATGGGCGCAGCTGGTAGCTATGCAATTGCGAAATGTGAAAGAAATATGAAAAATATTGCAGAATAGGAACATGATCTTTAAAAAGGTTACATCACATTTTCACATCGTGTGCATCATTCCATGTTCTTATTTGTAAAGAGTTATTTAGTTGATAAAGCGAGATTTATTTATATGAAAATGCATGTGCGCATGCAATAAAGCATATTCACATTCATAGCTGATATATGATCTTGCGGCAATACCTGCTTTATCATCGTTCATTAGTATCCATTCTCCTTCCCCCTTCATTGCGGTGTGATTTGTCTTGCCAGTGAGGTTGGCCAGTTGGCAGTTCACAACATTCATCTTGTCTCTGTAGTTGAATATAAAACATTTCGGTTCCTTTTGGCAGAGCTCGAGACATTCTATCGAGACAAACTCTGAGTTGACGGTATGATTTGATATGATTTCGTCTGGACGTAAAGTCAACCCTCCTAAAAGTGGCAAAAATTTGGGAAATGTTGATAGAAATTGATCTGAAACATTAAGTTGGAGAAATGACTGCATGGTTTAAGATCTGGCAAGGATAGTATAGACTCACCTTTTTTAATAGCTTTATAAACCCTTTGAGAGCAGTAGTTTTGAGAAATGATACATGTCATTTTAGCGATAAGTAAGATCAAAGTTATAATCTTAAACATCATGACGTGAACGAGGTCGCTAACGCTGCTTTTTCCAACATGCGATGGCTTAAATAACGTATATATAATTTACAAAGCAGGTGAAAAGTCGTGCGAACACTTTGCGTCATCTTATACATTTTTGACAGAACTTTTATTAAAAATTTATCACAATGAAAATTTATAACAAATTTAGTTTCATAATTATTTGTTTACCCGGAGGATATTAATGGCATGGTAACTGAGTGTTTGAATACAGCAGAAGTAATGATTTATATAACAGTCCATAACTTATATAGCGCTTAAAAGCGCTAAATTATACAAATCATTAAAACTAGCTATTTTCGAACCTTTCATGTAGCTAGATCAAAGAAATAAGAACTATCAGGACTATAAAAGTGGGCAAAGTATATTAAACTGAGCAATGGTCACTAATAAAAAATATATTAAACTGAGCAATGGTCACTAATGGCACTATACAAATTAGAGCGCTGCCCAAAAATCATTATAATATTATTCAATATATCACACTGTGATATTGATTATCGTACTGCAAGGAGTATACACGCATGAATAAAATTAAAAAATAAAGTAGAAAAAATATAGCGAAAGCTATAAGCTTCTATAAGATAGCGTAAAGTCGAGTCTCCTAAGAGCACTAGCCAATACGAAGCGAAAAAGTGCAATCTATATGATATAATAATTCGGTTCTAATGATGTTATAAACCTTGGTCGAACAGTTCCGTGAAATGATACATGCAATTTTGACCATAAGTAAGAATAAAGTTTTTATCGTAAACATAAGTTCTCCAACTTCTGCAACATTAGGTCGCTAAAATAACGTATTATCGGCAAAGCAGGTCAAAATAAAGGTATATGTATATATATAGAATTCATGCCGTCTTATATGTTATTCATGCAATGTTTATTAAACAATTTACACTGAATTTCTTTGTAATTTATATATAATGAATATAATTGTTTTGTGTCAACTTTTTTCCCTGATATTAAGGCCCTGTTCATATGAGCCGGGCTGGCCCGCTTTGCCGGGCTGAGTCGCTAGAGGCGAGATCCCGCTTCCTAAGGCGCTGTTCATATGAGCCGGGCTGGCCCGCTTTGCCGGGCTGACTGGCTAGAGGCGAGATCCCGCTTCCTAAGTTGTTTCTATATGTTTTTGAAATTTGATTCACATGGAAAGCGGGCCAGCCCGCTTCGGCGAGATCTCGCTTGAGCGAGGCGAGATCTCGGCAAAACGGGCTCATATGAACGCACTAGGCGGGCTAGCCCGGTAAACCGGGCAGAAAATCGTCGATCCCTTTCTCTACAAATATACCTTCATAGCATAATTTCGCCATTTTATATGTATTTACAAACCAAAAGAACACAATACATTTCAAAAATTAACGAAATATATCTGCCCAAAACCGCTCTAATCGATGCAAGCAACATTTTTCGATTTGTGAAGCGTCAACAAATTATGTAACGCTACCGGGCTAGCCCGCCTCATGTGAATAAGAAAATAAACTAGCCCGGCAAAGCGAGCCAGCCCGGCTCATATAAACAGGGCCTAAGACTGTTTTGCTTTAATGCGTGGAGATATAGAGAGCAATCAAACGTTAGTCAAAAAATTTTTTCATAATATTATTATAAATCCTGCAATTGATATTAATTAAATCTCACGCGAGATTTTGCGAGGACTACACGCGGATTGGCCGTATTACACAATATAGTAGGAAACATCAGGAAACATCTAGTGACAATCAATAATCAAGGTTCGACATTATCGACCCACTGCGCGCTCAGGTGATTGGGCGAAATAATTGATCCTTCTGTAATGATTTTGACAAAAATTTGTAAATATTCTGACAAACAAGTGAGACTTAGGTGATGGTTTTTTAACATAAATGGGTAAATTACTCTTTATTATACAGAATACCTACTTCTCGCGTCGAAGAAGGAGAATTTAGTAACAGTTGTACATGTAGAAATATCTTAAAACAGATTTGGATGAATTTTCATCTCTGTCTTTTTCACTGAATTGTATACGACATTCTCCAAAGGTACCAATTTATTTCGCTGCTACTAGTCTACTTGAGGTTGGGATGATGGCAGTTGTTGTACCACCAAGCTCCTTTGTACTTCACAGCACAAATCACACTATCTAGAACATCATTGTCGCTATCCTTGGTAGTGAACTGCACTTGATTGTGATAATTAAGAAATTAAGAAAATTTATCCCAAACTTGATCAAGGTTCTTTAAAAGTATGGTCTGATGGAATACTTTTTGAAATATATTAGTACACACGAGTTTCCCACAAAACAGGATTGGAAAAGAATTGTTAATTCAAGTATCTGGGTTTATTATCAGGTTACATGGAGGGACAAAATTAGAAGGAAGAGACAACTAAGTATCTATAAGAGAGTTCATCCACACAATCTACAATCTCATTGGTGGATCTTGGCAAAACACAATCTTGAGTACCTACCCAAGATAACAGATGTGGTCAGAATCTTATGTGGATCATTAAAAATACAAGGAAAACGAGATCGAAACCCCGATGATCATTCAAGCTATTGTCCTCGATGCCAACGATGTTCTGAGAAGCCAATACATCACTCTTTGTTGTATTGCCAGGGATCGATCGACGAAAGAAAGAAACTTTGGGAATGGATTAATGATAGTCTTACAACAACTATGAACGTGCAGTTAGCAAATTTATCGGACACCGAAATTTTGTGCTGTATATTAGGTGAAAAACTAAATATTTTTGAGACAGACTTAGACACTTGGTCAAAGTTTCTTTTGCAGTCAGCAAGTTATGTTTCTAGATGTTTTAATTCTACTATGTTAGAAATTGAATTTTATTTTTCAATAATTTGTAAATATTTAATTTTTAAGAAGCTCTTATTCAGAAAATGGAGGTAATAAAGATCCAGAGGGCAATTCATCGGTAAATATCATTTATATTCACTGATGGATATTGAGTTAAATCAAGAAATGACCGTGATTCTGACGCGATAATAAACCATGTTCTCGACAAGAGACACGTAGGAAACACAAAGAACTCCAAGTAATGCTAAAATCGTCGGTAATTTATTTTACGCCTTGCTCAGTACTTTTACAGATATATATAATATACAGAAATACTCTTACGAAAACTTCTGATAAGCAAACAAATGCAGTTCTTGTGTCAATTCATCGGCGAGTAATTGTTAGACATCATGCTCAGTCTACTAGAGGCTAGAATAACTGTTTAATATCACCATATTTTGCACCATTATATTAAGATCGCATACACGCAAACAGCAAGCGCATAATCGTTTCTTGAAGGTTGTACAGGAATATCTCAAAACTGATATGGACGGATTTTCATCTCCGTCTTTTTCATTGAATAGTGGGACTTTTTCCAATGGTACCAGCTTATTCCGGTGGCATTAATTTGACCTGCACCAAGGTACAGGCCGTTGAGGTTGGATGAATGGCATTTTTTGTACCACCAAGCTCCTCGCCACGTAATAGCACATTAGCACAATTGCGAATACTTTCATCATTGTCGCTATCCTTGGAAGTGAACTGCATTTGATTGTGAGAACCGAGGGAATTACCCGCGTCACCTTTTAAGGAAATAGACAAAATACTGTGTTCGCTTTTTCTGTTTCTATTTATAATTTTAAAAAACTTTCCAGAAAATACGAGGTCTTTGCCGTAGAAAAAAAATTAATTACACTTCTTCTGCATACTGCATCTTACATGGGTAGTAAGTGCTATTTAGTGCTATGGTGCACTAATTAGCAATGCAAAACAAAGTGGTTAGTTTTAGCAGATTTCTTGTGTAATGCAAATTAATGCACTAGTGCTGGACCACCCCTGGCATCTTATGTATATGAATACGGACAAGCTTGACGTTATACAAAATTAATAAAAAAACGGATAAGCTTTACATATTCTATCTATAGGATATTTGGTTTACCTGAATAATTTCCAATATTTAATCTGTATTTGTCTGATTCATCAGCCACACTAAACGTTCCATATTCAGCATGACGTTCAGCGCCATTGAAATCCATCAAATCAACTCTTAGAACATTTTGACCAGATTTGGACAAACGATGTATTTTATCCAGGCCCAACCAGAACTCGCCGTTAAGATCACCAAAGCCAGCTTTATAGTCCGACCATCCACGATAGAAATTTTGACTTCCACCTTGTCTTCTTTGAAACACGGTCCATCTACCTCCGGCTTTGCTTATATTCATATCACATCTGACCTCAAACGAACCCAGACCATCAGGATTGATAGTATAAACACCATCTTGTCTTACTCCTTGGTGATACAGATGGGCACAACTGCTAGCTATTAAATTGTGAAAATATTGAAGAGGCACATTTATTCACAATCTCACAATCATCTCATTTATTTATTTTATTATTCTCAAACGTACTTAAACAGATCAGCAATCAAATAAACAATTAAGGTAACACTTTAGGTTACTCATATAGCAACTGAAGTTTTTTCCAAAGTCGTAAAGATTGGATTAATTTCAGGTTTGTCAAGTTCGAGCTTAGTTTAGATACTTTGGCTAATAATCTTAAATCCGCAATCTTTCAAAAAGCCACATCGCCTGTTCCAGTTGCATGCACTTTTTATATTATAAGGTATTAGTTTCTGAGGCGATAGGTTTTTTGTAATAATCGCACATATGTGCGCCATTAAATCCATTATTTACAATTATAGCTATAATCTTGCAGTAATACCTAGATTCAAAGTGTCACTTTTTTTCTTTTCTTCCTCAATCTTTGCCTGGAAGAGAATGATTTTAGAAATGATTGCATGAAAAACGCTGGAGCGCACATGACGAGAACTCGTGTGGTTTCCTACAAATTCATATCCTTAGGCATTCTTTTGCTGCCCATGTTTTTAAAGCGGTTTAACTTTTTTACCTCATTAATTTCTATATACTGTTTTCATACAAGCTTTGTGGTTTTGCATGGATCTGAAATTTTAACACATACTGCTTTTTCGTCGTTCATTAGTATCCATTCTCCATCTCCGTCCATTATGACGTGATCTGTCTTTCCTGTGATGTTGGTCAGTTGGCAGTTCACAACGTTGATCTTTTCTCTGTAGTTGAATCCAACACATCCCGGTTCTTTCTGACAGTGCTCGTAACATTCTATCGGGACAATCCCTGAGTTGACGGTATGATTTGATATAATTTCATCTGGAGGTAAAGTCAAACCTCCTGAAAGTAGCCAATGTGGTTCGGAAATGTTCAAGGAAATTCTTCTCAAGCATTAGAAGCATTACATTTCTGATTGAAATACATGAAAGCATAGACGATTTACCTTTTTTTATAGTAATATAAACCCTTGTAGTCGTAGAACAGTTCTGTAAAATGGAACATGTGATTTTAACCATAAATAATATCGATGTCGCTATCCTAAACATGATTACTTGAGTAAGATTGTGTTAACTTTGCTCTCTTCAACATGCGGTAGCTGAAATAAAGCATTCTTCACAAAGCAGGTGAAAAGAAACGTAAAACGTGTCTGCCGTCTTATATATTATTGATAGGAATTTTATTAAACAATTTACACAATGAAAATTTATATCATAGTGAAAATTAATCATTTTAGACAGGTCATTAAGGGATGTGTGGTAAATGAATGTGTCAATTCAGCAGACTTTATGATTCACACTGGGCCTTAACTTTGCAAATCTTAGAAATAAAGAACTAATTTTAAGACTTATACAATGTTTTTTAAACCGAAACATTAACCTTTTTCAGTGAAAGACAAACCGATCTTCAACAAATGACCTTTGCATGGCGAATATATTGGTGTACAAAAATTATTAAACTGATGTATCAATGAAATGTCAATACTAACACTATTATAGTTAGAGCGCCGCTAGGCATAAATCTTGATATTTGATACGTCACACTGTGTTAATGATTATCAGTCTTACGCTTAAGCAAAATTACATAATAAAGTAGGGAAAAATATAGCGAAAGCTTTGTATTTGATTACATACGCTGCGAAAAGAATCGTCATGAATTTTAATTAACAGCAAGATATTGTTTATCTTCATTTTGTTCCAAAATGATAGCTTTTCTATAATGAAGATTTTAATTTAGTTCTAAAATTAATTGGCAACAGTGTGGCAATGAGTTCGATCGAATTCTCATTAAATGTGGCGTAACAACTGCGTACGTGCTGCGTAAAAAGACAATCTTATATACTCATCTGACGAAAGCCCCTTAGATTGAAGCGTTGAGCGTTATTTGTTTATAGTATTTGAGAAAATATAACGATCAAAGATCTCAATAAGAAATCAAATATAATTACAAATAAAAAGCTCGTCTAAAATAAATGACTGCGAAATAGATATGCATACTGTATGATTAAAAAAGCAATAAAAGCAATGAGTGGACACGCACTGACACTGTACATGTTTTGAGGAAACGTCAAAATCGATATTAAATTGAATAGATTTACAAAATAATAATGTTTTACACGTTTCCCAAATAGCTTTTAGTTTCTTTAAATATTTGTAATCTGCAATTTTGCTGGATATTCACTTTCTGTGAAAGGTACCGCTACCTTCTTCGCAATTATTTAAGATCAATCATAATCTTATCGATCATTTTAACAAAATGTTTCTTTCTCCAGAAATAGGAGCGCAAAGCCACACAGAGCACTTTGGGGATCGGGTTAAACTTTTCATTAGGGCCACAATTCCCAAGCCAAAAAGTCACAAGCCAGTCATTTGACGGTGGGGAAATTTTTTACAATATTGATTTAGTATGATATCGTGGATTATTTCAGTTATAAAAACCTTGAAGCTTTTTTCTTTTGTAAATAGGACTGTATATTTCTAATAATTATATTCAGCGAGCATCTTTAAACAACCTGCTGCTAGGTACAGCTAGGCTATTGAATTGGGAAGACGAATGTTATATAAACCATAACTGTCTTATCTTCTTGTAGATAGATCAGCATCAGACCAAATATCAAAGAGTTCAAAGAGTTACTATACAACAACTGTTAAAAATCGAAGACCACAACAACAGCTATATAAAAGATATTAAAATGAGATAAGAGAAGCTCGTGAGTTGCGATAGACATCGAAGCAACGCCTTCGTTGCCATTTTCGAGAGTAACTATATAGGGACCCTAAGATACACCAAATCTACGACGGCGACGTGCAATATACTGTCTTCATTTCAACAGTTTGGTAGACGAGGTCAGAGCTGTATGTAAAACTAAATAAAACTGGGTTCCTAACACTGATTTCATGTCAAGTCCGCGTCGCAGATTTGGTGTATCTTAAGGCCCTTAATATTTCACTCCTTACAACTCTAGCAAAAATGTTGATTTGTAAGAGTACGTAATTAATCAACAGATTTTATCAATCAGCGAATTATTCAAAAAAATCATGACAAGGCCCTCGGGAGCGCAGGAGCTCTAATTACCAAAATTATTTTCATATATAGATCACTTTCTTATACAAAGCCCGCAATAAAGGGTGACCCTTAAAGTTAGTATTAGGCCCCTGGCGTATGCAAGACATACACGTAATTTTGTTCTTTCTACATTTCTTTAAGAAAGCGTTCGGTACACAACGGTTGAATACATCACGTGGTAGCACAATGTATATCGTAGGTTTGGCTTTATTCGTGAAAACTGCCTGCAAGCAGGCTATACATTTATCTGTTTATATTTGAAGAATCTAGACAAATATGTTACACGGCAGTTACGCAATCTATTTATAACGATTTAAGTCCTTTGCAGTGACGTACGGAAGCGTCCATTCTGCAAGAAAATCAGGTTTACTGCTGTGGTAGCACATCATGGCGCCTTTTTCACAAGAAAGACCTGTGGTCTATTATTCTCTTGTAACGAGCTTTCGGCTGCTAGACTGCAGCCTTCAACCGGTAGTTAAAATATTCCTCGAAATATTCCTCTCAGTAATGATAGGAAAATATCATCATGCGCTTCACTTTTCGTGTTATATATAATATATACGTAGAACGGTGGGTATTAAAAGAAACGACACATATTTAAATACGGCTAAATACAAAATTAAAGTCGAATTTGCTTGCAACTTGGCCAACTTCGTCTATTATATCACCGTTCAGCGTTTTAATGAATTTTCATTCGGGGACTAGCTTTTCATAATATAAATACGATAGGCTACCTGATTTACCTGAATAACTGTCGATATGCAACTTGTTTTTGTTTGATTCATCAGGCACGCCGAACGTACCATATTTAGCGTAACGTTCAGTGCCATTAAAATCCATCAAATCAATCCTTAGACCAGATTTGGACAAACGATGAATTTTATCTACGCCCAATCAGAACTTCATAGTCTGACCATCCAAGGTAGAAATCTTGACTTCCATCTTGTCTTCCTTGAAACAAGGTCAAGCCACCCTTGTCTGCATGTGCTCATATCACGTTTGACTTGAAACGAACCCATACCATCAGGAGTGATAGCATATACACCATCTTGTCTTATTCCTGGTTATATACAGATGCGCACAGCTGGTAGCAATCTTATTCCTATGTTATACAGATGCGCACATCTGGTAGCTACAATTTTAAGAATAAATTGAAGAATAACAATTATTCACTTAAGCTTTCTATTACTTCATTGATTTTATCAAATATCTATACAGAACATGTAGGTTAAAACAACAAGAAAGGTCTTTCATAATACAAAAAATAGCTACTACTTTGGGTTAACTGATGGCAATTGTATAGTTATTCCACATTTGTTCTAAACGACAGAGCTATTTTCAGGCCTGGCGATTTTGAGCTCATTTTGGATACTTTGTCTACTAGGAACATGATCTTTCAAAAGGCTGCAGCACATGTTCCACTGAACTGTTTGCATCATTACATGTTCATATTTCATATGATGAGGTATGCATTATAACAGGCGAAAGATACTATATACATGCACGATAATGCTTGTGCGCAGTCACGTCTATTTGCATTTATATCTATGATCTTGCGGCAATACCTGCATTCATAGTATCAATACCTGAATTCTCCAGTCTCATCCATTTTCTTTCTCCAGTGCTTTCGTTATGATTTCTCTTTCCAATGATGTTGGTCAGTTGGCATGCGCAGTTCACCAGATTGATCTTCAGTCTGTAGTTGAATCAGATGCATTTCGGTTCCTTTTGGCAGATCTCGAGACATTCTATCGAGACAAACCGTGATTTGACGCTATATATGATCTAAAATCCCTTCTAAAAGTGGCAAATATTTTGGGAAATGTTCAAGGAATTTTGGGAATGTTCCAGAAAAATGACTTGTTTAATATAAGATAAAACGTTCTTTAGAAGACTAACCTTTTTCAATAGTTTTATAAACCCTGAAAGAACAGTTCTGGGAAGTGATACATGCAGTTTTAACGATAAGTTAGATTAAAGTTATAATCTTAAACATGATTACATGCCGGAGCGAGATAACCAACTTCGCTCTATCCAACACGCGATAGATGAAAAAGGTATTATTTACATGCAGGCGAAAGGACGCGTACACTTTATATATTATTGATAGAATTTTTATTAAACAATTTAAATTTAATATTTAAAGTAAATTTGAATGTTTAGTTCCCTGCTGGATATTAGGGGCGGTAAACCGAAATTGTAAGCTCGCCGTCGACTGCTGAACATTTTTTAATATGTTATATTGCGATTGCCGCAGATGTTTTTGCTCTTCTTGAACCCTTTAGGTAGTAACTTTACTTTAAACGTGAACCTTATTATTATATTTTTGGACCAGGAACTGGTCCCCACACGCGGCTAATCTTGTTGTTGTTGTTGTTGTTGTTGTTGTTGTTGTTGTTGTTGTTGTTGTTGTTGTTAGGGGGTGACGCTCTTTAAAAAAGCCTAAGGCTCCGTCAATTCGCATCAGATCGCAATAAAACTTCGCACAACTATTCTTAGCGATATTCCCCATCGATTGACGGAGTTATAATTTTGATTTTTTGATTTTAAAGAAGTTTAGAAGCAACTCAAAATTGTAGCGTAGTATAATGCGTATAGATTATATTCAATATTAGTATGCATAACTGAAGCAAGTTCGAATGGCTAAGGTTCCGTCATTTCGCACCAGATCGTGATAAAACTTCACACAACTATCTTAAAGGTTATTCTCTATCGACTTACGGAGTTAAATTGTTTGTGCAAATTGTATTCTGCAGAAGATTTGCAAGCCATGTCAGATTGTGACGGAAGGCAAATTTTATTATTATTAATATTCATATCCCATGAGTTCAAGCAAGAAGGTCGTGTATTTTCGTTGTTTTTTACACAATATGTATTCACTATAGGACCATTGCGTTAAATGCGTTTCTCGCTAGGGCATTTCTTATTTTTTATTTATTTGTTTAGGGTTTGCCCAGCATACATATACATAAAAAACGACTATAATGACAGTGGCACGGTGCACGCAACGCTAGCTTCTCGCCAGCTACAGCGGCATAGATTAGGACATAGATGTGCAACTCGGCATATTTTAAATATCTTTGTATTGAAAGCAGATGAAAAATGTAGAAAAACGATAATTTTAACATAACCGCAAGATTGCCTAGGTTCATAGATATTTGAAATTTCATCCTGGAGAGAAAGATTGAATCTATACTTCACCAGTTCCTGGTCCAATAGTACGATCGTACTTGTTATATCAATACCATTATAATTAATTTCAAAAAATTATGTGCTCGAAAACAGAAAGTGAATGTTTGTTTTTTATTCTTGGTGCTTCAGGAATATCTCAAAACTGATTTGGGCGAATTTTCATCTCCGTCTTTTTCCTTGAATTCCTAGCGCTCGATTCCACCTTATTCCGTTGGAACCAGCCTGACCTGCAGCCAGGTACAGGCCATTGAGGTTAGAATGATAACAGTTTTTGTACCACCAAGCTCCTTTAAAATTCCTAGCACAATTACCACTGTTAGCATCATTGTCACTATCCTTGGTAGAGAACTGCATTTGATTGTGATAATCAAGAGAATTATCTGCGTCACCTTTTATGAAAATAAACAATAAGCAATAAATTATGTTTTAATTTTTTTCCAAAAACTTTCACCTTTGTACAAACTGGAATTGAATTTTTAAAAATTTCATTAGTTCTGGGATTTTTGAGAACATTTACCTGCATAATAATAACTGCTTTTTATTGCTAATTTTTATGCAAGCACTGCAATGGAGAACACTGAAAAGAATTTCTACCGACATTTCGTGATTATATCTAATCTGTGATACCTCCACTCAGGGACTCGGAGAAAAATTTCTCGCAGTAATGATACGAAAATATCGTCATGACCTTCGAGATCTATTTCGCAAACAATGCGCGCAAACAATACTCTGAGCATGCGCATTGTTAAAAACGTTGCTCAGCTGCGAATAATACACTGTGTATGAGCATTGATGTCAATTTTGTAAACAATAATGGCGACTCGCTTTGCTGGACTTTCGGAAAATGAGTTGTATTGCTTACTCGTAGGAAAAAACGCGGAAAATACCAAAAAATAATAAGATAAGTGAATGATAAAAGAATGATTGAACTTGGTTCTTGCAAAATATCGTGATTTGTCGGTGGCTCGCAGATTAAGTATTATTTGCCTCTGCCTTTGGCATCGGCAAATCATTCGATCTGCTCGCCACAAAGAAATCACGATATTTTGCTCGACCTCGTCCAATAATTCATTAATATTTAGGGTTTTTGGAGTTATTAGTAAAAGCTATTAATTGTTAAAAAGATCATGATAAATGTTAATGATAAAAAAGTTAATGATATAGTAAAAAATTTAGTAAAAAAATATTATGATATATGATAAGTTGAACAAATAAGTTACATCTCATTGCAGATGACGTCATGTTGAGAGTTGAACAAAATTTGTGAGCATAGTAAATCAAAATTCTTCAAAAATTTGTAATTCCTTTAGCCAAAACTGGGCTGTTTTTGTATGATTACATAACATATAGCACGCGCGTGCTGATTGCATGGTCCAGAAGGGTGTTTCCATTTAACAATTAGTCGCCAAAGGCGAGGTGATTACAAGCCTATATTCACTGAGCCGAAAGCGAATTGTCAATCAGAATGCAGGAAAATCAATAGTCACCTCGAAATTTACACTAAATACGGGTAGACTACATCATTTACCTGAATAATTACCAATAGTTAATCTGTATTTGTCTGATTCATCAGCCACACTAAACTTTCCATATTTAGCGTAACGTTTAGCGCCATTGAAACTCGTCAAATCAACTGTTAGAACGTTTTGGCCAGATTTGGACAAACGATGTATTTTATCAAGGCCCAACCAGAACTCTCCGTTAAGATCACCAAAGCCTGCTTTATAATCTGACCATCCAAGGTAGAAATCTTGACTTCCATCTTGCCTTCTTTGGAACACGGTCCAGCCGCCTCTGTCTGTGCTCATATCACATCTGACTTGAAACGAACCCATACCATCAGGATGGATAGTATAAATTCCATCTTGTCTAATCCCTTGGTTATAAAGATAAGCGCAGCTGGTAGCTACAAATGTTCAAAATATCAAAGAAAATTAAGATATTAGGAGTTAAAATTTTGCTTCTCGTAACGGTCCTGTTAAGGCCCGTTTACACTTGCATGCAATTTTATGTGCGATTTTCTTCTTTTGGTATATGTGAGCGAGTAAGCAGTTACGAATGCTGTGTTGTATAAGACCTCTTATTTGATCATCCGTAACTAATTCTCTCGTTTACATATATCAAGAGAAGAAAACCGCACATAAAATCGCAGCAAAATTATATTTATAAGTCTGAAGATATTTATACGATGATGCATGGACGAAATCAAGACTATTTTCATTTATATCTTGACTTTGGCAGTTAATACCTGAATTCAAAGTGTCCCGTCTCCTCTTTTCTTTCTCATTCTTTGCCAGATATAAGAGAATAATTTTAGAGATTAGAAGATAATGTTCATACGAACCTTTTACAGTAATTTTTCAGAAATAAAATTATAATACATACTGCTGCTTCTTTATCGTTCATTAGTATCCATTCTCCTTCACCAGTCATTACGGTGTGATTTCTTTTTCTTGTGATGTTGGTCAGTTGACAGTTCACAACATTGATCTTGTCTCTGTAGTTGAATCCGACACATTTCGGTTCCTTTCGGCAGAGCTCGAGACATTCTATCGAGACAAATCTTGAGATGACGGTATGATTTGCTATGATTTCATCTGGAGGTAAAGACGACCTTCCTAAAAGTGGCAAATAGGTTGGGAAATGTTCAAAGAATTTGTTCTCAAACAATAGAAACAAGACTGGTTTAAGATAAGGCAAAACATTCTATGAAATACAAACATAAAATACTCACCTTTTTCAATAGTATCATAAATCTTGAGAGAACAGTTCTGCGATATGATACACGCAATTTTAACGACAAGTAAGATTAAAGTTATAGTCTTAAACATGACTATTATATGAATGGGGTCGCCAACTTCACTTTTTTTAACATTCGTTTGCTGAAAAAGCGTATAATTTACAAAGCAGGTGTAAAGACGCGTGTCGTCTTAATATATTATTGATAGGATTTTTATTAAACAAATCACACAATGAAAATTTCTAACGAATTTAAATGTTTTATTAGTTTCCTATGCAGCAGACTTTATAATTTTTATATAATAGAGTATATAATTTTTGTATAACTTAGCGAACTTGGAAAAGGCTTTGAATTGTATAAGTATACATTGCTTTCGAATCCAAACATTATTATTTTTCGGAGGGAAATCGGTTTCATGTGGATCAAAAAGAATTCTTTAAGGACTATATTAAGGACCATATTATAGGTCATATTTAACTGAACAAGTCTCAATGTAAGCACTATTAATTAAAGATAACAGTGCCGCGCCAAAATCATCATATTTTGTAGCTATATTGCATGTGATATTGATAATCATACTGCGAGGACTATATGATGCATGAACAAAATTAATAACAAAGTTTGAAAAAATAAACAGCGAAGGCTACAGTATGAGCTTTTTCTCTAACTTTTGAATTCAATAACGAAAAATTATAACATATGAAAACCACCCTTAATTCTTCTTTGAACATCCGATTCGAAACTGACAGAGTTCGAACAATCGGCAATATATTAAACAATCACTTACTGATGACCTGATCCGAACACGCAGCAATGTTGTGAGAATTAAGCCCCGTACAGACGGGCAAGTTTTCCTTGACAAGTTTTCTTGACCTTTTCACTACGACAATATGATAAAATGAGTATACGATCGAATCTGAAAACAAACAGAAATGATAAAACTTCCAAAAACCGCTCAATTGGCTCAAAGGCATTTTTGCGCAGTTTCCTACTTGAAAAGCTGGTATGACTAGCATTTGAAAAAGGCTCCTTGTCAAGGAAAACTTGTCATGCAACTTGTCACGCGACTGGCAAATAAAACTTGGCAAGGAAAACTTGACAGGGAAAACTTGCCCGTCTGCACGGGGCTTTAAGAAATAAGAAAGCACTCCTAAGTGTTTGGACAAGGCCATCCAAACACAGGAAACCATTAAATAATTGTTAAAACAACAGCGATGTAATGCTCCAAGTTTGATTTCCATAAGCGAATTATACCGTGTTTAGTACCCTGATCCAGAAACCGGCTTCGAACTTTTATGAAAACATTTCTCTACCAGGTCAAAGCTACAGGGTGTCCAAATAAAAACCAAAACCATTCTCCAGGGGCTTTTGTTCGGTAATCAGGGTAAATTTACGACCATGCATATAGGAGCAAATGGTAATGTTCCACTGACCAAACTATGGCCAGATCGAGCCTCTTTCTTAGTTTGTGAGTAACGTTTTTCAGGTTCAGTTGGAAAATGTCTGTTCGTCAATTACATTTTTACTAGTCCCAGTATATATACCATGGTTTTAAGCGATACTCCATTTACTGTTACTTTAACATTGGCATTGTTTGGATTTGTATTCTTCACCTCGTTTTTTACTACATACAGGTATGACTCATCCGAATCTGATTCTGAGTGATGATATTTTTCGTGTTGAACTGGTTTTATTGATCCGTGTTTGGGTTCAGTTCTTAGCTTATACGTACAGGTTTCGTTTTACTACTTCGACATACCTTTGCAAAAGGGTTGGTTTTTCCAGATTTATTGCATGACTTTCCAGTTCCTGAACAACGACCTTCGGGGGGGTAATTACGTCAACAGTTCGGACATGTTTGTTGCTTGGACTTTTGCCCCTTTTCTGCAGCAATTCTATTCGTTTCTGCTTTCTTTACGACGACGTAAAATTTACGTCTTTCGATTCAATATCTTTACTTGAGGATCTCGTAGCGCTCGCTTTCGGAGTTTAGAAGATGTCCCGTCGATAATAATCTGTTGTTCAATTTCAAATTCTATGTCATTGAATTCGCATGTCTCAGCTCGTCGGCGTAGCCGCTCATTGAACGCATCCAAAGTCTCATATGGCTGTTGCACAGTTTGCCGAAAACGATAGGCTTCATACGGTCATACCGCCGGTTTTTTTTGAGAGTCAAAATACTCTTTTAGCCGTTGTTTGGCAGTGTCATATGCATCTTCGTTGCCAATGTCTGACAAAGATCGAAAAATTTCTCGCACTCTACACAGAAGTAGTGCTCGTTTCCGCTTTGGGTCTGTGATTCCCGAACTGTAGAATATACAAGTCTGAGAGCCATTTGTCCCATCTTGTTGCTATGCTTGCACCGACATGCACGAGCTTCCGGTTGAAATTCAGGCATCGGCTGAATCGCGACAGAAATTGATTGATGAGGGAGCTGTATGTTGCTCGGCTTGTTTAGGCAGCATCACATCACTCATAACAATGTAATAGCTAGAGTTTGAATGCCTAAGCACCCTGTTGGGACTCAGTGTAAAATATAAATGAACGTTTCACGTAGGCGTATGGAGTAAAATTTGTTTGTATACCCACCAAATGATTACCACTACACTTTTTTTCGCTTAAGAATATGGATAACCGTGAGCCTTTTGTTTACGCCGTGAGAGTTCTGTTTGTTCCGTGTAGATAACAATATTTAAATTTACAACTTAAGCACCATATGACCTTCGACATGTCCTAAATTCTCTAGCAAATGTAAGCCGATTTTTGGTACAAATTTAAGACAACACGTTTTATTAATTTCATATACGTTTCAAACAGTAAGTTTCCAAAAAGATGCCTTTTCATTCATGGTAAACGCACTGACTGGCTCACCTAATCTTGACCGTCATTATTTACTCCCAATTGTATATATTCAGGGTGTCCCAAAAAAACCCAAAACTAGTGAAATCACCTATTGTTAAAATTTGAATGACTTGTTCGCGAATTTTTGCCTGTGGGGATTAACGCGTAACTTATAAAATGCTAAATAGGCCTACATTTGCAAGAGAATTTACGACATGTCGAAGGTCATGCATATGGTTGTTAATTGGTAGTAATTAATGACGGTCAAGATTAGGCGAGCCCGTAAATGCGTTTACCATGAATGAAAAGGCATCTTCATGGAAACTTACGGTTTGAAACCAATATGAAATTAATAAAACGTGTTGTCTTAAATTTGTATCATAAAGCGTATATATATAAATATATATATATATATATATATATATATATATATATATATATATATATATATATATATATATAAATTAGTTATAACCTGCGAAATAGGTGGGATACGGTTTAAATTGAATGCAGGAACTGTTGCAGTTCTTTGCAATAACTTCAAATTGAAGTAGTGGAATAGTTACAGTACATCGAATAGTTGAAATCTACTTTTAAATAAAAAGCTATATATTGATCCGCGGCGTCGGTTCCATGAAAGCTGGATAGCGCTGTCCAACGCGGATATATTGATTATTTCGATCATGCACTCTAACATTTCTCGCTGTTTGGTATAACAAGAAAAAATCACTATCTGTGGATAGCGCTATCTAGCCTTCGTACAACCATAGACAATCCAGAAGACGTGAATAAGTTCGTAACTAATCAAGTTGGCGTTAATGCATATGTTTCCTTCTTAATTGATGCGGTCTGATCAAACAATCGAGGTCCGCCATGTCTACTTGAACAACGGTCAATTGAAATTGAATGTTTCAAGGCCAATATGCGACCGCCCTTGGTTGGTCTTGCACTAAATTAGAAAGTATTTCAAAAACTTCGTTTTCTGGATTGTCTATAGTGCAACTGCTGACAAGCATTTTGCAGCCGTTTTTCATACAATTCGAAATAAAAAATTGTGTGATTTACTCTCAACGAGAAAATTTAATTTTAAGATGGCTATATCACTATCAGATCACCAAGTAGCTAAGAAACTGGAAACTATTCGAATAAATGTCCTAACTTATTCAAACGCAAGATGAAGTTTACCTCAGTTTGTATAGTCTGACAACAGTAAAGATTTCAAAATTCCTTTCTACAAATGTCAAAAATAACGCAGTCTGAAAGGGATTTACCTATTTTCATATGAATATTCACATCACCGCTCTGTCGGATACGAGTGTCTCGGCTGTCAATTAACAATATCAATCGGTAACGTTTTTTCCGATAACCGCCATATTAACACAGTTGCCTGTGTAATATTAGAATCCTGCGAGTCTGCATGCCATAATAAACTATCATTATAGATTTAAAAGTATTTAGTATAAACCTAGTAATAGACGGGTAGTATTCTTATTTTTTTTCCTAAATAGTTTACTTATATTAAAAATATAGATTGTCAAGAGTTGAAAGTTTAAACTTGGCTGTATTAAAAATGTCGCATATTGTAATCGCGTGACCTAACGCGTCCTTAGTTGTCACCTAGATGCTTCCTTGCCTCACGCAAAAGGATTTTTGGGAGTGGTATAGGTTTGTAATTTCCAAATTTCCACTATGTTAGTATCAGTTTATAAGTCGCATTTTGGTCGCAGCGAATGCAATTCAAATTATTCCATCTCAATAATATATTTTGTTTGAATTGCATTCGACGCAACAAAAATGTGACCGATTTTACTGATGAACTAGATTTTACTGATTAGCATGGAAAACATTTGCAAGTATATCGAGTTCTCATCTACTTTCAATTATGCTCTAAACAAATGTAAATATGGTTGGAGATGCTCACTGTATACGTGAATTAATATGTTGACGGAATACTTAATTAAAAAATCGGCAAATTATAAATCCGTGCAGTTATGCATGAATAAAAATGAATTCTTATGACGAACTTTGTGTTTGTCTGAGTCTCTGAGAATATGATAAATATAAAGACGTGCAGATGCGCTCAAGTGTTTATGGGCGTGATCACACATTATCATTTCTGTGTGGATGTAAAAAATAATATAAAAATAAAGCATATACATGCATGTGGAAATATCATTGGAATTGTTCACTGAACGAGAATATGTATGTTCACGGCCGGAATACATATTTGAAAGTGTCTGTTCGATAGTGCGATCGGTGTGGAACATTTTCGAGTAGCATAGTGATTCAACAGTTTTTTTCCATTAAAAACCAGTGCATGGTTTAGTTAAAATTATGATACAATAAATGCAACTATACACTGGAATTTTTTGTCTACGCCTTTATCATTAATCAAAGTAAATTGGTCAGGTTACATTTCATAACTGCTTAATTATGGACCATTCCACTTTTATTTCCCAGGTGGGAAGCTGTAGCTAAAAAGAAGATTAAAGGTTTGCGTTAAAATATTGTGGAAAGAAGTAATAAAATAAATCTTGAAAGCTTTTATTCTCCAGAAATTTAAGAGTTAGTGCGGGTGCGGGAGGGGGTGCGGTAAATCAAACAACGATCATTTGCCGCCATCACCGACACAGAACCGGCGGATAAGTGCATGTATTGATTTTTACTTTGTTTTTTCAGTTATCGTTCTCCATGTTACGATCAAATTGCTAGGTTTAATTTCTCTCTTGAAAAGGACATCATGCAGTGAAAAAATTGTTCGACAATACATAAAAAATACTTACCAACAGCAACGCCATGGTGGGTGTGGACAAATGCCTAGTGGACGTACATTTATCTATGTGGGAGATTTTTATGTATTTGGGGTTCTTTAAATACCACTGCTTTCTTAGGGCTTTCCGGTACATTTCAAGTTCACAAACGTTTATTTATTTTTACTTTGTTCTTTCAGATATCGTTCTCCATGTTAGGGTAAAAGTTTCATGCAGGTTTAATTTCTCTCTGGAAAAGGACATGATGAAGCGAAAAAATTGTTAAGCAATATTACATAAAAAATGCATACCAACAGCAACGATATAGTGGGTGTGGACAAAATGCCTAGTGGAAATTTATCTATGTGGGAGATTTTTATGTATTTGGGGTTCTTAAATACCACTCGTTTCTTAAATTTTCCGTTACATTTCAAGTTCACAAACGGTTGTTCAAAACTTATCAGAAAATGTTTCGATACTTTGTCGAAAAACAGACTCATTATGAAGACCCCGACTAAATATCGTCACATCCTAATACCGTAAATTACCTTCTGCATATTCACTTGTTGATTTACGGCCGTTAACCGCAGAAAATGCCACAAAAATAATCAGCAACAGGCAAACATCCATACGGAAATCCATTTGTTCAGAGAATATAATTACCTAGAAATAAATAACACATATAGATGAAAAGAATCAGAAAATGGAAACTCGGGGTTGGAAACACTAATTCGATTAAGGCGGGTTAATTTAGTTGTCTTAAATTTGTCCTGAAAATTAAGCGTATGACCTTCGAAATAGGTAGAATAGGCTTACGAGTTTACGTTGGATTCAGGAATTGTTGTTGTTCTTTGCAATAATTCTAAATAGAAATAGTGGAATAGTTACATGGAATATTTGAAATCTTTAATACTTTCAAATAAAAAGCTATTGATCAGACAAGCATTCCGCATCGGGTTTTGCAGTATAATCATGCATGTTCAAATAAAAATTTGTGTGGTTTACTCTCGACGGGAAACGACCAAACTAAACGACAATATATATAATATCAGATCACCATGTAACCAAGAAACTGGAAACTAAAACGCAAGATGAAAGCTTACCTCAGTTTGTAGTCTGACAACAGTAAAGATTTTAAACTTCACGGAGAAACTTCAGTTCGTCGATGACTTAGAGCTTTTAGGGCTCTGTTTACCCGCGAGTATGAATGCCATTCGTGGGTCTAAAACCGTCAAAAATAACGCAGTTGAATATTTACATATCTATCGGATATATGTGTCTTGGTTGTAAATTAACAATATCGATTATTAACGTTTTTCCGATGGCCATATTAACAAACTTGCTTTAGTGATATCAGTATCCTGTCAGTGAATTTAAAAGTATTTGGTTGGTTACACTACTAGTAGGCAGTTAGTGATAGCCTAATACAGGTAATAGTCAAATTCAAAACAATAGCGGAAAAATTAATAACAAATAAACAAACAAGAATTATTATCTTTCACCCGAAAGTATTTCGGTAAATAACGGTGTGATTTATATACTGTAGTAATTCTTCTTTATTTTCTATGATTGCCAACAGGTGAAATTTGAAACTTGTCACCTTCTAAGAATGTCGCATGTCATAATCGCGTGGCGCGTAATATAAGTTATATTAGCATTTCATGTTAATACTTCTGTTTATTTCTGTACTGTGTTTCCAAGTTCTCAATAAATACTATTGTTTATACTAAAACAATTACGGCAACTCGGCCTGGTTGTCCAAAGCGTGCAGATAGATTAATATTCATAGAAAACATATATTTCGTAGAAATGTTAATTCTTCATCAAAAGGCATCGGTAATTAATAGCTGCGGGGGTATACTATATAGCTAAGGGTGAGAAAATGCATAAAAATAACGAATAAACATGATCAGCCGAATCGTTGTTATTAAATAACGGTGTAATTATATGCTGTAGTTTTTTTTTATATATTTGCTGATTTTCAAAATCATGGATTGTCAACAGTTGAAAGTTGGAACTTGATACTTAGAAAAATGTCGCATGTTGTAATCGCGTGACCTGGCGCGGCCTTTCCGCAATATAAGTAATTATGAATATTAATATTAATATATACTGTATTTCTGTTTATTCCTATCCTCAATAAATGCCATAGTTTATACCAAAAAAAGAAGGCAACTCGGCCTGGTTGTCCAATTGTGAAATGGCTGTTAGGATGCAGTTAATTAAATTATTCCTCGCAGCAAGCGAAAAAAAATTTACACTTAAGATGACGAGCATTGAACTGACGTTATATCTCTATTAGTTCAGTGGCGTAGCCAGCAATGCCGGATAATTTTGGGGGCCCATATTCATCCATATATTCATTTTAACAGACTGTAAAGCCAATCGATTTAAAACGATCTAGAATACGAGTTGTGATAAAGTTGTCATTCAGCATAAATGTTCTCATATAACGACATGGATAATTCATACATCAGCACGCATTTCCGACGACGAATAACCGTTGCATTGTTAATTCAATCGGTCCTTTAACACAAACACGTCTTAGAGGTACAATGCAAATACATAGTAATTACATAAGATATTTGATACATACAATACCCCAACGAATGCGATGATAAATATAAATGCATCTTGATCATTTTTTTTGCTTGCTCCGAGGAATAATATAACAGCATACCATGCTAACAACCATGCATTTAACAATTGGACAACCAGGTCGAGTTGCCCTAATTGTTTTAGTATAAACTATAGCATTTATTGAGAATAGGGAGCACAGAACAAAATAAACAGAAATATATATATTATATTCATAATTACTTATATTCCGGAAAGGCCGCGCCAGGTCATGCGATTACAACAAGCGACATTTTTCAAAGTATCAAGTTTTAACTTCCAAAACAATCCGGCCATGGTTTTGAAAATCAGCAAATATATAAGAAGAAATACTACAGTATATAATTAGACCGTTATTTCATAACCACGTTTTGGGTAAAACAAAAGTTATGGTTGATCATGTTTGTTCGTTATTTTTATGCCTTTTCTCACCCTTAGCGATATAGTATATAGCGCCGCAGCTATTAATTACCGATGCCTTTTGATGAAGAATTAACATTTCTACGAAACATATGTTTTCTACGAATATTAATCTTTCTGCATGCTGCTCAATTCGTATACATTGAAAAGCCGCTGTCGGAAATGTTTATGACGTGTCATATACATATACCGGCAAAGACCTGTGCATCTGTACACCCCCGAATATGCACTGTACTGGTATTGAAACATGTATAGTCAATTCAACGTTTGGAGATGGAATCAGCGCTAGCACTAACTGTCTGGGCGTTAAGGTAAAAAGAATGAATTCTGTGTACTTCTGTATTTCATAGAATACGGACTTGAGCTTTCTCAAGTATTTTTCTCCGGCTATATTCGCCTTTTGTCCTAGCTTTTTTTCGAGCCATGACACATCTTTCCTTTCTTGGGATTAAATATCTTATGTAAGTCCTTTTCCTCTGATATATGGCTACATATACCACATGATGGGAAATAGAGATTACCAGTCCTGATTACCATTTGTTATGGGGAATTATTAAATTCAAAAATCAGTTTGATATTATTGCATGCAATATATTGCATAATTATATTCCCATTATCATGCTGTATTGCCTTTCAGTCGCCGATACATTACCAAGAGCATTCTCGCTTTCTATAGTTTTTTCCTTAGAGAGATTTGATCAGTGAAACGTTTAGTAAATTAATAAGAAATATAGATTTTACGTTAACACTTCATGACAGTATGAGAAAATTAAAGAACGGCATCACTAGTATAAATCATATAGGTATAGGATATGTATAATGAATTGGTGTACAATAGGTAATTATTTTAGCAAACCCGAAAATTGTGGCAGTTTTCTGAAAATATTATTTTGTGTATTCGACGAGAAAAAAAAACACGATGAAACGGTTTTTCATGATCGGAAATGTTGTTGTATACATGCACTGGCGAACGCTTTATTTTGTGCATTTTTATTCACATACTGCATGCCCGGTTATACCCCTATACAACTCATTTGCTACTCTAAGACCAACACAATCGTCATGCATAAACAAACAAAGAACTCTTTTCGAAATCTTACTCAGTTCATTAAACTCCGGAAGAGGCAAGCATATAGGCACTTCCATTCGAACAAAAAGCGTTTATATTTGCCACGAATAGGAATATTTGAAAAGCTAGTCGTACATAGTTTGGAATTGTTCGACAATACATAAAAAATACTTACCAACAGCAACGCCATGGTGGGTGTGGACAAATGCCTAGTGGACATTTATCTATGTGGGAGATTTTTATGTATTTGGGGTTCTTTAAATACCACTGCTTTCTTAGGGCTTTCCGGTACATTTCAAGTTCACAAACGTTTATTTATTTTAATTTGTTCTTTCAGATATCGTTCTCCATGTTAGGATAAAATTTTCATGCAGGTTTAATTTCTCTCTGGAAAAGGACATGATGAAGCGAAAAAATTGTTAAGCAATATTACATAAAAAATGCATACCAACAGCAACGATATAGTGGGTGTGGACAAAATGCCTAGTGGAAATTTATCTATGTGGGAGATTTTTATGTAATTGGGGTTCTTAAATACCACTGGTTTCTTAGGTTTTCCGTTACATTTCAAGTTCACAAACGGTGGTTCAAAACTTATGAGAAAATGTTTCGATACTTTGGCGAAAAACAGACTCATTATGAAGACCCCGACTAAATATCGTCACATCCTAATACCGTAAATTACCTTCTGCGTATTCACTTGTTGATTTACGGCCGTTAACCGCAGAAAATGCCACAAAAATAATCAGCAACAGGGAAACATCCATACGGAAATCCATTTGTTCAGAGAATATAATTACCTAGAAATAAATAACACATATAGATGAAAAGAATCAGAAAATGGAAACTCGGGGTTGGAAACATTGATTCGATTAAGGCGGGTTAATTTAGTTGCCTTAAATTTGTCCTGAAAATTAAGCGTATGACCTTCGAAATAGGTAGAATAGGCTTACGAGTTTACGTTGGATGCAGGAATTGTCGTTGTTCTTTGCAATAATTCTAAAAAGAAATAGTGGAATAGTTACATGGAATATTTGAAATCTTTAATACTTTCAAATAAAAAGCTATTGATCAGACAAGCATTCCGCATCGGGTTTTGCAGTATAATCATGCATGTTCAAATAAAAATTTGTGTGGTTTACTCTCGACGGGAAACGACCAAACTAAACGACAATATATATAATCAGATCACCATGTAACCAAGAAACTGGAAACTAAAACGCAAGATGAAAGCTTACCTCAGTTTGTAGTCTGACAACAGTAAAGATTTTAAACTTCACGGAGAAACTTCAGTTCGTCGATGACTTAGAGCTTTTAGGGCTCTGTTTACCCGCGAGTATGAATGCCATTCGTGGGTCTAAAACCGTCAAAAATAACGCAGTTGAATATTTACATATCTATCGGATATATGTGTCTTGGTTGTAAATTAACAATATCGATTATTAACGTTTTTCCGATGGCCATATTAACAAACTTGCTTTAGTGATATCAGTATCCTGTCAGTGAATTTAAAAGTATTTGGTTGGTTACACTACTAGTAGGCAGTTAGTGATAGCCTAATACAGGTAATAGTCAAATTCAAAACAATAACGGAAAAATAATAACAAATAAACAAACAAGAATTATTATCTTTCACCCGAAAGTATTTCGGTATATAACGGTGTGATTTATATACTGTAGTATTTCTTCTTTATTTTCTATGATTGCCAACAGGTGAAATTTGAAACTTGTCACCTTCTAAGAATGTCGCATGTCATAATCGCGTGGCGCGTAATATAAGTTATATTAGCATTTAATGTTAATACTTCTGTTTATTTCTGTACTGTGTTCCCAAGTTCTCAATAAATACTATTGTTTATACTAAAACAATTACGGCAACTCAACCTGGTTGTCCAAAGCGTGCAGATAGATTAATATTCATAGAAAACATATATTTCGTAGAAATGTTAATTCTTCATCAAAAGGCATCGGTAATTAATAGCTGCGGGGGTATACTATATAGCTAAGGGTGAGAAAATGCATAAAAATAACGAATAAACATGATCAGCCGAATCGTTGTTATTAAATAACGGTGTAATTATATGCTGTAGTATTTCTTTTTATATATTTGCTGATTTTCAAAATCATGGATTGTCAACAGTTGAAAGTTGGAACTTGATACTTAGAAAAATGTCGCATGTTGTAATCGCGTGACCTGGCGCGGCCTTTCCGCAATATAAGTAATTATGAATATTAATATTAATATATATTTCTGTTTATTCCTATTCTCAATAAATGCCATAGTTTATACCAAAAAAAGAAGGCAACTCGGCCTGGTTGTCCAATTGTTAAATGGCTGTTAGCATGCAGTTAAATTATTCCTCGCAGCAAGCGAAAAAAAAATTTACACTTAAGATGACGAGCATTGAACTGACGTTACATCTCTATTAGTTCAGTGGCGTAGCCAGCAATGCCGGATAATTTTGGGGGCCCATATTCATCCATATATTCATTTTAACAGACTGTAAAGCCAATCGATTTAAAACGATCTAGAATACGAGTTGTGATAAAGTTGTCATTCAGCATAAATGTTCTCATATAACGACATGGATAATTCATACATCAGCACGCATTTCCGACGATGAATAACCGTTGCATTGTTAATTCAATCGGTCCTTTAACACAAACACGTCTTAGAGGTACAATGCAAATACATAGTAATTACATAAGATATTTGATACATACAATACCCCAACGAATGCGATGATAAATATAAATGCATCTTGATCATTTTTTTTGCTTGCTCCGAGGAATAATATAACAGCATACCATGCTAACAACCATGCATTTAACAATTGGACAACCAGGTCGAGTTGCCCTAATTGTTTTAGTATAAACTATAGCATTTATTGAGAATAGGGAGCACAGAACAAAATAAACAGAAATATATATAAATATTAATATTCATAATTACTTATATTCCGGAAAGGCCGCGCCAGGTCATGCGATTACAACAAGCGACATTTTTCAAAGTATCAAGTTTTAACTTCCAAAACAATCCGGCCATGGTTTTGAAAATCAGCAAATATATAAGAAGAAATACTACATTATATAATTAGACCGTTATTTCATAACCACGTTTTGGGTAAAACAAAAGTTATGGTTGATCATGTTTGTTCGTTATTTTTATGCCTTTTCTCACCCTTAGCGATATAGTATATAGCGCCGCAGCTATTAATTACCGATGCCTTTTGATGAAGAATTAACATTTCTACGAAACATATGTTTTCTACGAATATTAATCTTTCTGCATGCTGCTCAATTCGTATACATTGAAAAGCCGCTGTCGGAAATGTTTATGACGTGTCATATACCGGCAAAGACCTGTGCATCTGTACACCCCCGAATATACACTGTACTGGTATTGAAACATGTATAGTCAATTCAACGTTTGGAGATGGAAACAGCGCTAGCACTAACTGTCTGGGCTTTGAGGTAAAAAGAATGAATTCTGTGTACTTCTGTATTTCATAGAATACGGACTTGAACTTTCTCAAGTATTCTTCTCCGGCTATATTCGCCTTTTGTCCTAGCTTTTTTTCGAGCCATGACGCATCTTTCCTTTCTTGGGATTAAATATCTTATGTAAGTCCTTTTCCTCTGATATATGGCTACATACCACATGATGGGAAATAGAGATACCAGTCCTGATTACCATTTGTTATGGGGAATTATTAAATTCAAAAATCAGTTCGATATTATTGCATGCAATATATTGCATAATTATATTCCATTATCATGCTGTATTGCCTTTCAGTCGCCGATACATTACCAAGAGCATTCTCGCTTTCTATAGTTTTTTCCTTAGAGAGATTTGATCAGTGAAACGTTTAGTAAATTAATAAGAAATATAGATTTTACGTTAACACTTCATGACAGTATGAGAAAATTAAAGAACGGCATCACTAGTATAATTCATATAAGTATAGGATATGTATAATCAATTGGTTTACAATAGGTAATTATTTTAGCAAACCCGAAAATTGTGGCAGTTTTCTGAAAATATTATTTTGTGTATTCGACGAGAAAAAAAAACACGATGAAACGGTTTTTCATGATCGGAAATGTTGTTGTATACATGCACTGGCGAACGCTTTATTTTGTGCATTTTTATTCACATACTGCATGCCCGGTTATACCCCTATACAACTCATTTGCTACTCTAAGACCAACACAATCGTCATGCATAAACAAACAAAGAACTCTTTTCGAAATCTTACTCAGTTCATTAAACTCCGGAAGAGGCAAGCATATAGGCACTTCCATTCGAACAAAAAGCGTTTATATTTGCTACGAATAGGAATATTTGAAAAGCTAGTCGTACATAGTTTGGAGAAGGAAAGTTTCTATAATCGTAATGTACATTAGTGCTTCTAAATCGTATCGCATTCAATCACAAATGTATAGTTTCATTTATCCCAAGAAATTGATAATACTGCATGCATGCATGTACCGGTTTATATGACACCACTGACTATGGGCATGTATGCGCACAGATTACATCATGCAGTTTTGTGCCTACAAAATCTTATGCATGGGTTTATAACTAACGAAGTTTGAATGTATATGTATGAAAAATTGAAGAAAACCGCAATACATGCAATATGCGTGTATGTGCACTAGACGTGTTTCTGTCAAACGACAAGTTGAATTACCATGCAGCAATGCTTATATTGAATGCCGAAATAATGCATGCTAATGTATAAAACGCGCACACGTATCTATACCACAGGTCTTGCATTATATGGAAAAAATGTGCCAAATCACAACACAAAAACGTTCCACACGGATCGCATTCTCAAACAGACACGAAATTCGTCCTAAAAATTTCTACTTTCGGGTATGTTTTCCAGCCGTTTACATATTCTCGCTCAGTGAACATGTCCAAAGAAATTTCCAGATGCATGCTTATTTTTTATAGCCTAGCTTATATTCACGAAGAAATTATGTGTGAGCATGCTCATGCATAAACACCATGATAGTATTTAATACTTCAAAGCGTACAGTCCGTAAATAGGGCCTTCATCAGTGCAGTCCATGAAGGCCAGCTTTAAAGGACCGAGAGTTTTACATTATTAAATACTTGAGTGGTGTTAAATATTTGTACCTATAATAGAACAAGCTAATTTACTTATTTGATGTTAGCATGCAAACGTTCAAGAATATATTTACATTTGTTTATATAATTATATAGAGCGTTAGTGCAAGTAGATGATAACTCGATATACTTGAAAAAATTCTTAAGTACTAAAGTCTAGTTTATGCATTCTAGTTCGAATGCAATTCAGATAATGAAATGATAATAAAGCTTAATGACGCGTGGATCACTTAATTATAATTTGTTTGCATGACTTGCATTCTCCGCGACCAAAATGCAACTTATAAACTTTATTAACCTAGTGTAAATTTTGCGAATTACAAACCTATACCGCTCCGGAAAGATCTTTTTCGTGAGGCAAGGAATCATCTTCTAGATGACAACTAATATAGAGACATGATGTAAGTACAATGGTAAATATAAAAGTATTCTGATCATCACTTAAATGTATTTTTTCCTTCTCACTCCAATAATACCAATTAGACCACGAGGCTGTGTTGGCCTATTTGTTTCAGTATAAACTATAGCATTTACTGAGAACTTGGAAACACAGAACAAAAATAAATTATTAATAACTTATTCCCCGGAAAGGACGGGGCCAGCTCACGCGATTACAATATGCCACATTGTCAAAAGTGACAAGTTTCAACTTTCAGCTGGCAATCCATGGTTTTGAATACCCGCAAGCTCTTACAAAAGAAAATAAAGAAAAATACTACCTATCTATTACTAGGTTTATACTAAATACTTTTAAATCTATAGGTATGTTTTTATTTTGGGAGACTCGAAGGATGCCGGCTGATATTACTCAGGCGGGTTCGTTAATATGGCGGCCATCGGAAAGAACGTTACTGATCGATATTTTTAATGAACAGTCGAGACACTGGTATCCGACAGAGTAATTTGAATATTCGTCTGAAAACAGATATATCCTTTTCAAAAGTGTCAAACTGCATTATTTTTGACATTTTTAGTCCAACGAATAGCATATATATACGAGTCAACTACACAACCCCAGTCATTGACGAACTGAAATTTCTCTCGGAAGTTTTAAAATCTTTACGTTTCGGACTACAAACTGAGGTAAGCTTCATCTTGTGTTGAAATAGTTAGGATATTTATTCGAATAGTTTCCCGTTTCTTAGTTACTTGGTGATCTGATATAGTCGTCTAAAAATTAAATTTTCCCGTTAAAAGTAACAATCACACTATTTTTTATTTGAACATGCAGTATGGTTATACTAGAAAACCGATGCGAAATGCTTGTCTGACCAATAGCTTTTTATTTGAAAGTTAAAGTTTTAAGGACTTTAGCTATTCAATGTAACTATTCCACTATTTCAATTAGAAATTATTTTAAAGAACTACAACAATTTCTGCATTCAACGTAAACCCCAGTTCTATATCCTACATATTAAGACAACCCGCCTTAATCGCATAAATGTTTCCAATCCTGCACGAGTTTCCATTCATTGATTCTTTTCATCTATGTGTTATTAATTTCTAGGTACTTATATTCTCTCAACAAATGGATTTCCGTACGAATGTTTGCCTGTTGCTGATTATTTTCGTGGCATTTTCTGCGGTTAATGGCCGTAAATCAACGTCAGGTGATTCTGCAGAAGGTAATAATTTCACGGTATTAGAATGTGACGCTATTTAGTCGGTCTTCGTAGGAAGTATGTGTTTCGAAAAATTATTGAAATTTTTTTGATGAAAGTGATAATTAATAAAGGTTAAATTGCATTATAAAAATTTTGTTGAGAACTTGAAATATAACGGAAAGAGAACTTGAAATATTTCAGAACCTCAAATAGTTATATAGCTACGTAAAAATCTCTCAAATATGCTTTCTGTATTTTTCAATCATACAGAAATTCCCTGTGGGCTTAACGGTAATTGCGTACCTTCACGTATGAGGTGTCCTCCTGGGTCATTTGACTGTAACGGTTTTTGTCCAATGCCATATCATTGCTGTTGGTAAGTATTTTTATGTCGTATTGCTTAATAAGTTTTTCACTGCGTAAATGATGTCCTTTTCTAGAGAAAAGTTAAACAAGCTGAAAATCTTATCCTAACATGGAGAACGATATCAGAAAGAATAAATTAGTCGTGTCGGTGATCAGGGCATTTGTCTTGATCCTTTGATTTCGCGCCCCCGCACTAATTCTTAAATTTATAGACAACAATTATTTACTTTACAAGATTTACTTTATTAGTTCGTTTCCACACTATTGTAATGCAAACCTTTTTCTTTCCAGCCCAAGACCCTTCCCACCTGGAAAATAAAACTGGAGTGGTCTACAACTAAGCAGTTATAAAATGTATAACCTGTCAAGTTTACTTTGATTAATTATATCAAGGCTTAGACAAAAAATTCCAGTGTGTAATTGCATTTATTGTATCATAATTGTACATAAAGCAATGTTAGGTTATTTCTGGACAGTACTGTACACTTCTTTTCACATTATGCAATGTTACTCCTTAAGATTCAATCCGCGCCGTATTGTTAGAAAAACACAATCGTCATAGAAACAAAGCACTCTGTTCAATAGCTGATGCTAGTCAGGTCTTTATACTCAGCAAGAGGCTAGTATCCGCTAGTCTTTATCTTGTATCAACAGACATTTTTGAAAAGCTAGTCATGCATCATTTGGCGAAGGAAAATTTCTATAATCGGAATGTACCTTGGTAGCTACTTCTAATTCTTATCGCACTCAATCACTTAATATAGTTTCTTTCATTCCAAGGAATTGATAATATCATGCAGGTTTATATAATACTCCTAAATTAGGCACGATCATGGCCATTCGTGCAGATTACATCATGCAGTTTTGTGCGTACAAAATCGTATGGGTTTAAATAAGGACATTGCAAGGAGAGGGCGTTATATTTTTCGACTTATTTTTATGATTTAGACCCGGTACACTTCGACTTCCAACGCGAATATATAGATACATCTACAGTCAAAAAATGGAAGTTTGAATGTTTATGTATATAAAGAAATTGGAGAAAATCGCTATATGCAAGATATGTTGCATGTACATGCATTATAGACGTGTTTCTGCATGTTAAACGAATTACTGAATTGTTGAATGTTGGAAATAATGCATGATAATGAGTAATGTGTAAAACACGCACACGTATCTAAACAACAAGTCTTGCATTATAATAATTTATATGGAGAAAATGTGCCGAATCACAACACGAAAACGTTCCACACTGATCGTTTTCCCAAACAGACACAAAATTCGTTATAAAAATTTCTACGCATCACCATTGATTTATCAATATAGATTCAAAAATTCATACTTTCAAATATGTATGCCAGCCGTCTAAATATTCTCGTTGATAGAATTCTCCGGATAGAATTCGAAAAATCCCATGGGCATTGTAGAATTTATGTAGATGTTTGACAACCTTAATGGTGGTACTGGCGATGTATCTAAATTTTAGAGAGTTCATTCTCAGCTTTGAGTTTATCTTCGCCTTTGAGGTGAAATATAATGCCATAAAACATAACACACGCATCAATAGTCGTGTGACACTGTTGCGTATACTCATTTTGTGGCGTATTGTCTTTTGATTATTATGATGTGTACATAAATGCATGGTAATCCAAATACAGGAAGTCATCGTGAGCATGATATTAGAGCGGTAGCTGTTGAGAAGGAAGGAGAACGAATGAAACATCGAAATGCTCTGGCGAAACGTTACTTGGTGTTAATATTTCTACTCGTAGTCTGCTTTAGTTTCATTTAAATCTGCTGAGACACCAATGCTGAGATACGCTTAATTTTCTCCCCAGGCCACTAATTATAACCGCGACAAAACGTTTTTGAACACATGTTTGCACGTCTTTGCGTCCTCCACATTGCGGTCCACCACCAGATCCCTCGCAAAGTTGTCTGAAATTATGATTGTCTATACTAGTTTTCTAACGGTCTTTGAAAAACAAAATGCAACTATCTAAAATGTGCGAATCGGTTTATTTTTTACTGTAAAATTTGAAACTTGTGGCGGACGTTTGAGGGACTAGACGTAAGAGAAATCACTCGAAGTGTTTTGCTAGCGAAGTGATATGGTTTTGAAAGGTATTGTGGCAAGTTTCTTTGTTGTACTTGTTTTTATTTTGTACGGTGAAAAGGTAGAAAACGGGCTTCAAGAGGGAAGAAGCGCACGAAAATTGTCTCGTGCTAACACGTCACGTTTGCTTGTCGACGTAGAGGAACCTACGAGAGAGCAAAGGCGCCTTTCTAACCCAACGCGTTGGTTATTAGTGTTCAGTCTACCAAAACAAATGCCGAGCACGAATGAAATTAATGGGCACGGTTACCCATTTTAGCCGTGCCGTGGCAATAAATCTATATAAGATATGATTTAGAATAAGAAATTTCGGGAGCAAAATATCGTATCCTACATTAAACAGAACATAGTTTAAAAGAAAATGCTTTAATATTAACACTGAATATTCGAAATTGTATATGAGTTGCAGTACGTGGTAACACTGGTTAACACTTGGGGCAAAACTGAACTATATAAAGATACGACATTTTCTTTAAGTTTTAAGAGCTTTTTTGTCTTGCACTATGAACGGTGATAGCCAATCGTTTGTTAAGGTGTATTTTGGGTTCATATATCCTTCAATATTAGGAGCCAAATGCCCCTAAAATAAAGATAATAGCAAGATATCTAATGCAAAAAAAAATGCCGTCATGTTTGAATCTTCGTAGTTGCCATGGTTGCGGTGGGTGGTTACCGCTGAGCTATATAGTAATTCCTTTATATATAGCTTGCTTTATATTAGTAATTCATTTTTATATAGTTCGGTGGTGGTTACCCAACCCCAGACATACGACCCAGGCTAGGTTTGGTATGAATAGAGTACACTGAGCCAGACGAATGGGTGAAACCTAATTACCCAAAGAGTCAAAGACCAATAGCCGTTCATTTGGGCTGTGGTACTATCTTCATCTTATGTGCATGGTAATATTTTCTTTTCGGGTAAAATAATTTGCCGAATCGAAGCGCGTTAAGAAGGTTTTTAAACCATCGGAAATTTACATATTTTCTTTGCAATATTCTAAAAAATTGCATGGTAAAGGTAAAGGTAAAAGCGCAAACAATTTTCTTATGACAATGAAAAGACCTTTGCTGTAAGCTCCAGTACTGTAAAATTAAATTTACGACAGGTAGGCTCTCTTGGTGAGGTGAAGTCTTGTCCCGCGAAAGAATTTTTTTAACGTTTGTAGAAAGCAACTTGTTTCTATTGTGTCCTGCAATGATATCCTGGGCGGAGGTGGGATAAACACGAGACCAAGAACTATATACTTTTTATGGCATTTTATCTTTATTATCATATATCTGATAACAAGAGCAACCAGAGAGGTGCTGAAATCACCTAACGCTCGCCTGCACTGTTTGTCTAGAATAAGGCTAAACTCTGTATGAAAGGTATCTGTATGAAGCACAAATTACCGATCTTTTTATTAGAAATTACAAGGCTAAAATCCGCTTTGGAAGGTAATATTAAGCACAAACTTCAGATATTAGTTGTGACCTCAGAATTACTGGCCAAAACTGGCCTCGGAATTACATTGTTTTATTTGTGACCAATATTTCTTCCGTTTCTCGCAATCCGCGCACGTGATATCAACAGGTAAGTTAACGGACCAGGCAAAAGGCCCTGCTTTAAGCCGGGCGCACACACAACGATTTTACGGTAGTTCATAGTTAATCCATTCAGGTTTAGACATATAGGCAGCCCTTGCCCAGACATGTTTTCCTTCTCGCGGCGCTCGCGCCTCGCGCGTGTACGCGAGTCTACTTGGTCTAATATTATGACCAAGTATAGATTGCCAGTCGCCACATTTTTATGAAAACATCCATCTAGACAATCTAGACAGGAATTGGCCGACTAAAATCGTCGTGTGTGCGCCTAGCTTTATGAAAAAGACAAGATTGGATTTTTATATCTACACAAAAAAGGATTATGCATCAAACAACGAAAAGGTATGTACATAAATCTTATAGGGCCCTGTCTACAATTTAACTGGCTTTAATAATATATTTGCATGTGTATCTACATAAATAATATGCAAATATATGTCACATGCGTTGCCATTTGCCTTTGCATTCCGAGCCTATCGGCTTTCTACTTATAAATACTTATGTGCTAAAGCTTGTAATTGCGAATTATCTGACAATATTCTTTAAACTTTAACGTTGGACTATGTTTTATATATATTCACTCCCTGAATGATTTTTAGCTCGCCTGCACTTTAGTGCAAGAGAGCTATTGCTATAGTCTTGGCGTCCGCGTCCCCGTCCCCGTCCCCGTCCCCGTCCCCGTCCCCGTCCCCGTCCCGTCCCCGTCCCCGTCCCCGTCCCCGTCCCCGTCCCCGTCCCCGTCCCCCCGTCCCCGTCCCCGTCCCCGTCCCCGTCCCGTCCCGTCCCCGTCCCCGTCCCCGTCCCCGTCCCCGTCCCCGTCCCCGTCCCCGTCCCCGTCCCCGTCCCCGTCCCCGTCCCCGTCCCCGTCCCGTCCCCGTCCCCGTCCCGTCCCCGTCCCCGTCCCCGTCCCCGTCCCCGTCCCCGTCCCCGTCCCCGTCCCCGTCCCCGTCCCCGTCCCCGTCCCCGTCCCCGTCCCCGTCCCCGTCCCCGTCCCCGTCCCCGTCCCCGTCCCCGTCCCGTCCCCGTCCCCGTCCCCGTCCCCGTCCCGTCCCCGTCCCCGTCCCCGTCCCCGTCCCGTCCCCGTCCCCGTCCCCGTCCCGTCCCCGTCCCCGTCCCCGTCCCCGTCCTCGTCCCCGTCCCCGTCCCCGTCCCCGTCCCCGTCCGCGTCCACACTACATGATAAGTAGAATGTTAAGATGCCATCTACTTAAGGAGTCTATTTGTTGCAAAAGAACCATTTACCAGGGGGGAGTGAACATTATACAATAAAATATAATGATAAGGTCAATGTTAAAATGCTAAATTTTTTCTATACTTTGGCTTTACATCAGAGGAATCATTATCAATATAAGTCATCAATATGCATTGTGACTATTTAGTGCCATTTGGTACACATTTATACAATAATAAAGAAAGTTTTGCTCAAAATTATCAAATGATAAGGTGAATGTTAAGCTAATTAGCATAATGATAAGGTCAATGTTAAGATGTTATATTTTTTAAATATTATGGCTTTGCATTAGAAGATTCATCATAAATATAACTCATCGATATGTCTTGTGACTATATGGTGACATTTAGTACACATTTACACAAAAATAATGGGAATTTTGTTCAAAATTATCAAATGATAAGGTGAATGTTAAGCTAATTAGCATAATGATAA